CCCCATCCATTGGCACTCTGTTAATCTCTGGCCTTTCTTTTGGTTTAGTTGTTCTTTTCAACGTTGGCTCTAAACAGTTTGAATAGATGTCATCTTCTCTAGAGACACCTATGAGTACTGGTGGCAATGGGTGAATTAGGGTTGTTGTGGACATATCAATAAGGAGTTGATTTTTATTCAATTTTCACTCCTTTTCCACCGGCTTAATAAATAGGTAATAATGGATTGAGTGAAAAAAAGGTGGTTGGTGTGGTGGTCCACGATTAACAGTAAGTTTAATCAGACGAGCTTTAACCCGTTTTAATTTGATTAATTACTTTGGTTTTTCTTTTTTTTTTTTTTTGCTCGATCTTAATTACTTTGATGGATTAATTGTATTAGAGGTCCTCAAAGTATGAGGTTTGTCTCATTTTGGTCTTCAATGTTTCAATTGCATCATTTTAGTCCATGAAGTATTGAATATGTTTCTATATGGTCCTTCAAGCAAACAACGTCCAGATTGCTAACGATTTTTTATCATAAACTTGTGACGTAATAGTTAAATATGGACAAAAAATAATTTTGATAACTCTTAAACAAAATTTGACTAGCTTTTGACAAAAAAATGTGTAATATGTGTAGCTTTTGACCAAAATTTGAATAGCTCATGATCAAAATTATGTAATTTAAGTAGGTATTTAACCAAAATTTGAGTAAAAATTTGGTCAAGAGTTATCAAAATTATTTTTTTATCCATATTTAAGTATCAAGTGACAAGTTTGTAATAAAAAATTATTAATAATCTGGATATTGTCTACTTAAGGGACCATATAAAAGTATATTTAATACTTCAAGGACCAAAATGATACAATTAAAATATTAGAGACTAAAATAATACAAAGTCCATAGTTTGAGGACCTCTAATGCAATTAACCCTACTTTGATTGATAATACCTTCAAATATTTAAGAATAAATAAGTTACTCAATCTGCTAATTTACAAATGAGTGGGTGAATTGATGGGTTGTCAATTGTTTTTAATTTTCTCCATGATATGGTGCCATCCAGTTGGGATCTGATAAGTAAGTGGGTACTAAACTATATAAGATATTACTACATCATAGTTGATCTCCATCTGTGTTACCCGTTAATTTTTGTCAATATCTATCAAGTTTAATCATTCAATTATTGTTCAATAGGTACTACTAGTTTCAATGGGACTCACAAAAACCCATGATTATGGCCTATATATTAAAATTGGTACGGTTTTTTTTTTTACCAGAGAACACTACAATATTTTTACTTAAAAAATAAAAATGTCATAGGTCTTTAAATAACACACACATACTCGAAGATTATCCGATGTGGAATGGCTCCAGCCCATCACCACCTTGGCCCAAAGGCCTCTCCGATCATACTCAGGCCTCAGAGGAATGCAACAGAGCCCACATGGGACGCACCCCGAAACACGTAAACGCCGATACAATTTTTTTTAATCAAAGAACAATATAACATTTCTACTTAAAAAATAAAAATGCCATAGTTCCTTAAATAACACACACCAAAAGATAAACTGGTACGATTAAACATGATCAAATCTAACATAAATTTAAAGCGTCAAGATCCATGTTAGTTAGGCACTACATTATTGGGCCCACTGAATCATCTCATGCAATGTAGTCAAAAAAACTTACTTAAAAAATAAAAATATCATGGGTCCTTAAATAACACACTTTGATGTGGAATGGCTCAGCCCATCACCACCTTGGCCCAAAGGCCTCTCCGATCATTATCAGGCCTCAGAGGAATGCAACTGAGCCCACATGGGACGCACCCCGGAACACGTACACGTAGGTACAATTTTTTTTAATCAAAGAACACTATAACATTTCTACTTAAAAAATAAAAATGTCATAGTTCCTTAAATAACACACACCAAATGGTAAACTTAAATAACACACACCAAATGGTAAACTGGTACAATTAAACATGATCAAATCTAACATAAATCTAAAGCGTCAAGATCCATGTTAGTTAGGCACTACATTATTGGGCCCACTGAATCGTCTCATGCAATGTTGTCAAAAAAACCTACTTAAAAAATAAAAATGTCATGGGTCCTTAAATAACACACACACTCCGATGTGGAATGACTCAGCCCATCACCGCCTTGGCCCAAAGGCCTCTCCGATCATACTCAGGCCTAAGAGGAATGCAGCTAAGTCCACATGGGATGCACCCTGGAACACGTACACGCCAGTATAATTGTTTTTAATCAAAGAACACTATAACATTTCTACTTAAAAAATAAAAATGTCATAATTCCTTAAATAACACACACNCCAATGACTAAAATGATAGACCATGGGCTATTGAAATAGTTGTGCTTTAAATTGGCCATCCATGTATGCCAAGAATGCCCACAATGCTCGTTAACGTAATCGAAAACTTTCTAATAATAGAAGTTTTTAGGATCTAGGATGACATAATTGCCCAATTTGTTAAACATGGAAGAAACCGTTTTATCATCCCGAAACTAGTTATTAATAACTTCATTTTTGTATAANAACCTACTTTTTTTCTTATATTCTCCTTCAAGAGAAAGTCTACTTTACCAAAAAAAATTTTATAGTAATGTTAAAATTTTGAAATGAAAAATTACAACTATTCAAGAGAATATTATAAACGATCACAAACTCTTATGATCGATCATAAACTTTTGGTATCAATTCTATCCTTTCATAATTGATCATGCCTTTTAAAGTTGTATCTTACACCTCAAAAAAATTATAATTTAACTTTCAAATATTCTAATTTTTGGTACGCAGGCGGTACNGATTCCATTTGCAAATTTTATATCCAACAACGAGAAACCTTTTGTAGCCTTCACAAATTTAATTCCCAATTCTCGAACCTCTATGGCACTTTTCATGAAACTCCATTTCCTTCCTTGGTTTGCATCAATAGGAGGCGAAGACACCATTGCAGCAAATGAAGAACACCAGGTAGCATGTACACGCTCTTCCATCATTTGTAGCTTAACTTTGCCGCACTGATAAGGACCAATTGCTACTATTTCTAGATCGTATGCTTCATTGTTTTTGGGACATGATTGGCCTAGAACTAGAAGTCCAAACACAGACCTTTGTCTTTCTTAATTATGACTTTTTTTTACGTAATCTCCTCAACTAGTATATTTTTTATATTGCACCTTTAATTATGTGAATTATTTTGAATTGATCTAATTATTAGCGTCTGTTATAAATTTGATGAAAAATTATTTTATTTTGCCGCCCTCCATCTAAGTGATTTTTTTACTTTGCCCAAATACATTGGCAATTTTTGCCCAAAAAGATAGCAAACATTTGTATTTGGGGCAATGTGAAATAACAAATAGCTGGAGGGACAATGTAGAAATTTTTAAAAAGTATATAGACGGTTAAAATATCAAAATGTGATTGAGACGTGAGTACATTTAACATGTTTACTACAGTTGACATGTGAATGTTAGATTACTGTGATTAAAATATAAGTGTGATTACAGAAATTATTCTTTTCAACATCTTTTCCATGATATAGTCATGACAAAAATATCAGAGGTCGCAAATTAGATTAGGATTAATTAGTACTCAACATAAATGTGAAATAACAAGATCCGATTATAACACCAAGCGATACAATTCAATTAACAACGCTAACAAAAACAAATGTTCACTCGATGGCCTGAGCTCAGCACCTTGTCGTTTGTCAAGCTTTTGACTTGCATGTAGTTTGTTGGATGTCCAGGAGTATTTATACCTAAAAAATTAACCTAATTTACTAATCTAGTGATGTGTTTGTAACATGATCTAGTAACATTATTGTAAGTATTATTGCTAGATTTTTTAATTAGGACTTGAACATAGTATCACTTAACACATAATTAGATACAAAAATTACATTATATTTTTAGGTCTTAATGTAATACTCTTGTTAAATATGGTGATGAAAACTACTAACTTTTTGGAAATGAACCATTTGACCACACAAGTTATAAGAATTCAAAAATTAAATTTTTCACATTTTATTCCTAATATATCAAAAGTGTTATAGTATGGCGCTTGTGTTAGATTCCGTTTTTTTTTCATTAGTGTCAATAGGGTAGTTTTTGCCAGATAATGGTATACACCCGAGATTTTCATTATTAGCCAATATCCATAAGTTTAAAGAAAACATGATTGGAACAATTTTCGATTACCCAAAAAACTGATATTTCTCATGGGTATAGTTACTATATTAGAATCTTATGTGGGGAGTGGAGGAACTCTGGTGAATATTTGACTTTTCCCTTAGATAAGGTTTGCAGATTCTGTATGCTAGGCTTGTTTAGCAATTAAATTACCTTTACAAATTCCATGTGCTATGCTTGTTAAACACTAAAGGGTGGAGCTATTCTCATCCCATTAAAGTCTCAATTATAATACTATTAAGTTCACCCCTTCTATTTACACCCCATTTATAGACTAACCTCACCCCATTCTTCACCCACCCCATTAATAATTAAACCTATTACAAGTAAAATACATCTTACTCATAAATTATTTCTACGTCAATATCTTCTCACTTTTGGAGTTTCTTTCTATGCTCTATTTCACACACCTGAACATCATATACACAACTTGGTAGTCGTTATATTTTGGAATTGTGGTTGGTTGATTGTTGGAAGTTTGTGAACACGAAAAATTTGAAATGGTTGTATGAAAAAAATTGAGGGCCAAGCAAACTAAGATGTCTAGTGGATTCCCTTGGTTTGAATTTTCAGTCATATCAAATAATTTGATGAGGACAGAGAGTGAAATTTGGTTCTCAAATAATAGTAAGTCATGTCGTATCCTTTTCCGAATCTTAGGAATTTGGAAAATGGGGTCGTGTGCATCTCTCAAGGTTGGATTGTTAAACTTATGAAATAACTCGATGATAAAACACCCATCTACTAGCATCATTTCTACAAACTTATCCTTATTCAGTTTAGTGGGTTATGCATTAACAATTTTGTGCTTCCTCCTCCAAGTTTTCCATGGCTTCGACGTATCTATCCACACTCTCATTTCCTAGTTTAAGCAGCTCATGCAGGTACAATAGTTTGTGCTTTTTCATCATTTGGAGGTTAACTTTTTCGCGGTGATAAGGACCAACACTGAGTATTTCTGGCTCATAGGCTTTAATTGTTCCTTTATTTTGAAGATAAAAGGCCCAAATGATGGCGATGATAAGGAAGCAAGCCTTCTGTCGATGCCAATAGACAGTTGAGACATTTGGTTTCTCTTTCAAATAGATAAGTTGTGGCAAAGAAGTACATAAAAGTCCCTCAAAAGATATTACGATGAATTCCAAACGAATTATAAGTTTGACACCCAAGTACATAAGAGTCCCTCAAAAGATATTACTATTATATAGTTGTTTCCATAATACTAGTTGGATTTGGATTTTCTTAACTATAATTTTTATCAATTTCACTCGTGATCACTCATCCATCGTGAATTCGTTAAGTCTGACCAAGTGTAAGTGAGACCCATAGAGAGACATGATTATGGTCCAATGAACTTGGAATGACCCATTATTGAAGTTAACCAAAATTTAGTGAATCAAGACCCATGTTCATTGACAAAAACTTAAGGTTCTCTTACCTATAATTTTTTTTCCAATTCCAATCGCGTTCAACCATATATGTTAATTCATTAGATCCTATCAGGTATCAGGTACCGGTGGGATGACTAGGGACTATTTTTATGCCCCATGAATTTGAAAGAGTATGATTGAAATCAATTAAAATTGACAAAAATTAAGAACATCGAGATCCATTATAATTAGACAATAATATTTGCGGCAGCCCACTGCACAAAATTAGCCGAACTTCTGTTTGACTAGCTGTTAAATAACATACTCAACTGAATTCCATATATAAGTTCTTAGTTTACAACTCCATAGAAACTAAACTAAACTGCACTGGCTTAAAAAACATTCAAATTGATCAGAAATTCTAATTTAGAATTTCGAAACAACATGTTGGCTGAACACTGATACAACTTGTTTGCACATAATATTATTGACTGAGGGGGTCGGCATGTAAATCAAATTGGACTTAAAACCAGAATTGTAAGATAGAAGATACAGTTTGTATCACAGTGAGTGCGAGCAACATACTAGCTGCAATCACTGAAAGAATAGACCACGGATTGTTGCAATAATTATATCTTAAATAGGCCATCCATCCATGACAAGGATGCTTGCAATACTCTTCAACTTCCTTCAAAACTTCCTCATAATAGAAAGAATTTGGATTGACTTGAACATGATTGGCTATTTTGTTAAACATGGTAGAAACAACTTCATCATCACCTAACCAGTTTTCAATAATTTTAGAGTGGCGAAGTATTTTGACATCCTTGGGAGAATTGAGGAGGCGATCCATAAAAAACGCGTAGTCGGTCATATAAGTTTTCGCAATTTCTCCATTGTATTGCTCATAGGCAATCAGATTTCTTAATTGCCACTCTATATCATCATCAATTTGAAGAGGAGGGATTCTCATGATGCCATTTTCAAAGTTAATATCGAGAAAAGAGAAACTCTGTGATTCCTCTTCTTCAGCCTTAATCAATGGTTCTCGGAGCTCTGTAACACCTTCTAAAAATTCCTCTTTTTCAGCCTTAACGAATTTAATCCCATCTTCTTGGAGCTCTGTAACACTTTTTAAGGAAATCATTTCCTTTTTGTGGTTTGTATCAATCCCACGAGACTGACGGGAGGACACCTTTGCAGAAGAACACCAGGATTCATGTACAAGGCCTAGAAGATGATTGGTGTTGTCTGTTGGAATTTTGGTGCACGACAAACCTAAAAAGTTTGTATTTAAAAAGTTGATGGCCAAGGGAATTAGTGGGGTCAGTTGGTCTGGATATTCGGTCATATCATATAACCGAAAAAGGACACAGAGTGAAAGTTGATTCTCAAATAACAATAAATCACGTTTTGCGCTCTGCATAATCTCAGAAATATTGAAAATGGGGTCATTTGCATCTCTCAAATTTTGGTTTTCAAGCTTGCAAAATAATTCGATGATAAAGCACCCATCAAGTATCATCATTTCCAAAAACTTATCCTTATCCAATTTAATGGGTTCTGCATAACTTTTGCGTGCTTCCTCTTCCAACTCGTCCATCTCTAACACGTATCTGTTTACACTCGACTCACTTCTTCGTTTAAGCAGCTCTTGTAGGTACCGTAGTTTGTGCTCTTCCATCATTTGTAAGTGAACTTTGTTACGGTGATAAGGACCAACGGCGAGTATTTGTGGTTCATAAGCTTTCTCATTTTCTCTACGTAGATGGTCATTTATTTTGAAGATAAAAGGCCTAAAGGATCTCGATGATAAGGAATCAAGCCTTTTGTCGATGCAAATAGACAGCTGAGACATTTGATTTCCCTATCAGATAGATAAATAGTGGCAAAGAAGTATATGAGAGTCCATCAAAAGATATTTCACTTCTTTTTTCACATACAAATATGAAGTGCAAAAAATAAAGAAAAAAACTTGCAAAACATTTCATTTGAAGGAAGGTTTAATTTCTATAAAGTGAACTTATGACAAGACATTTACTTTGTTTTATACATGAGACGGCAACCTGGAGTAATTTTCTCTCTAACAAAGCCCTAATCCCAAATAAAAAATGCCCACCATTGTACATTACATCTATCACTATGATTATTAATTTTACCTTTTTCCTTCCAATATCACGTTTTTCATATTGCCTATCTTATAACGGTTATGGGTGTCATTTTATCCAAGTTGTAGAAATTGGAAACGTGTATTTTGTTATACATTTAGACATTTTGCTATTTTTTGTTCAAACAAGACGACTGCTTAGTTTGAGGCAATGCAAAACTAATCAAGTAGTTGAGGAGATAATGTGAGAAACTCATTAGTTGAGGGACAAAACATAGTTCAAATAGCTCAAACATAATTTCTCGCAAGGACTAATAATAGAAAGATGTAAACAAGTAACCTTTTAGTTAAGGGCCATCTAGGGCTCCTAGTCGAAAATTTTTCGATATAGGCCAGGCTTGATCTTGGCTAAGCCCCATCCCATGGAATAGTCGGGCCCCACTCGAGTATGTTTTGGACAGAAAATACCCATGTTCCGTTAGATTTTACGGGCAAAGTGAAAAAAATTCATATACTTGGAGAATAAAGTGCCAAAACTTTTCATTCAAGCTATCACGAATGTTTGCCATTAATTAATGACTATAATTAAAAGAGTACTTTGGAGGAATCAAAGTACAACTTATTTTTCAAATAATTCAACAACTTACTGAGTTGTAGCTTCTTTGTCTTCTGAAATAATTGATTTAATTGGAAAGCTTGCCTCACACCAGCAGATTTGTTAAGGTTTTTGTGAGGGGGTGAAGAGTGCAATGCAGCTGAAATGTTGGATGACAAATTAGGTGAAGATCAGCAACTAATTTATAATAGCTTTACTCAACCATGGAATGAAAATACAAAAAATAGCCATCGCCAAGTATGTTTCTTTCCTTAGTACCCCAAATATTTCTTCATGATAGTGAAGTTATTTTTCCATGGGCCTGATTACGACATCCAAAGAGATGTTGTATCAAAAATTATAAATAAATAATAATTAATATAGTTTATTTAGAGTACATTACAATGGGTGAAGAGGCTTCTTAACCATAAACCAATCTTTGATACCCCTAATCACAATAATAAATGAAATCTATTCGTGTTCTGATCACCACCTGTCTTTGCCCACATGTGAATTGCAGATGAGTCTCCAATGTTTTCACTCTTTTTCACTAATGATACAAGCTCCAAATTACTTAAAATTACAATTCAAATTATGATGTAACGGCTAATTTTATAATTTAATTTTAACCAACGTATTTATTTTAATCACACATTTTTTTTAATTATAGCACATATTTTATTCACTATAAATAATTTTTATTTTACTATTGTAAATTTTTTACTATCCACTTACATTTTAGCCATAAAAAATATTTTAAATACTTTTTTATATATTAATTACAACAAACACTAATAAAAGATAAATTAGGATAAAAAATCCGATCACATCTTTGAGAAGAGAAAGATCGGGACCTTCATTGTTATGACCCATTTGGGGTGGATCTTTCTTCGTTTTTGTTATAAATATTATTATTATTTCTAAAATGATAAAAAGGTTCACTACCATCTATACCATTGTATCAGTGGAATTCCTACCTCTAATTCACCCCCTCAAACTGGTGTGGCGAGGAGGCGAAACACCCAATTTAAGGAATTAATTTTATTTTGTGGTTTCTAAATTAGTGAACTCATGTTAAACCCAAATTGAGGCCAAATTTTCGTCCAAGTAATATAATTCGAGAATCAAATTTACGTGTAACCTTGAGTTCAATCCTGAATTCGACTAGAGTGACAACCCTAATAGTTAACATGAGTTTCAGCTTGAGTTCCAATGGAATTATGTAACATGAGTTCAAAAAAATTAACATTACCAATATTTGAGATTAGTGATTTGAGTGGAAGTCGGGTTCGGATTAAACAAGGATTGAGAGTTTAACCACCCAACTTGCCTGAGTTGGTGAAGACATAACAAATTTGATGCATGAGACAAATATCCAAAAATGAAAATGCATAATTAACCAGTCATCTACGAGCCACTTAATCATGGACAAAATGATAGTCAAGTTTGAACTGGTCGGTGGCAAATTGCATTTAATACTGAATTAATAACTCTGAGGTGACTAGCTAACATATTTATCACAAAATATAGTTGGTAGTTGCCATTAAGGTAGTAATGAAGACTGAAATTATTTAGTAGAGGTGATCATATTTTATTTTGTTGATTCAGATTATGTGAGTGATCTAAATAAAATGAGATATTTGACAAGTTATATTTTTAGACTTCTTGGGTGGATCGTAAGTTAGGGGGCGATCCTACAGTCTCCCTTAGAGACAAAATACATAACAATATCAGATGCAGTTACATGAGTAATTTGGTTGCGAGGTTTTGTAAGTGGCTTAGGCTTGAAAGATGAGGTGACTATTCTGTTTTGTGATAGTGAAAGTACAATACATTGACTATAAAAATCTAATATACAAGTACATTGATGTTAGATATCACTTCCTTCTTGAAGTTATGGCTTAAGGTATTGTCACATTAAGGAGCTTGGTGGGAGGGGCATTTTGGTCCTTTCAATTTAATTTTAATTTTTTTTTAAATTCAAACACAATAAAATAAACGCTCTTAAAATTTAGTAGGAAAAATTTTAACTACCTAGATCCACACTAACTCTAGTCCATTTGAACTTCNTTGAGTGGAAGTCGGGTTCGGATTAAACAAGGATTGAGAGTTTAACCACCCAACTTGCCTGAGTTGGTGAAGACATAACAAATTTGATGCATGAGACAAATATCCAAAAATGAAAATGCATAATTAACCAGTCATCTACGAGCCACTTAATCATGGACAAAATGATAGTCAAGTTTGAACTGGTCGGTGGCAAATTGCATTTAATACTGAATTAATAACTCTGAGGTGACTAGCTAACATATTTATCACAAAATATAGTTGGTAGTTGCCATTAAGGTAGTAATGAAGACTGAAATTATTTAGTAGAGGTGATCATATTTTATTTTGTTGATTCAGATTATGTGAGTGATCTAAATAAAATGAGATATTTGACAAGTTATATTTTTAGACTTCTTGGGTGGATCGTAAGTTAGGGGGCGATCCTACAGTCTCCCTTAGAGACAAAATACATAACAATATCAGATGCAGTTACATGAGTAATTTGGTTGCGAGGTTTTGTAAGTGGCTTAGGCTTGAAAGATGAGGTGACTATTCTGTTTTGTGATAGTGAAAGTACAATACATTGACTATAAAAATCTAATATACAAGTACATTGATGTTAGATATCACTTCCTTCTTGAAGTTATGGCTTAAGGTATTGTCACATTAAGGAGCTTGGTGGGAGGGGCATTTTGGTCCTTTCAATTTAATTTTAATTTTTTTTTAAATTCAAACACAATAAAATAAACGCTCTTAAAATTTAGTAGGAAAAATTTTAACTACCTAGATCCACACTAACTCTAGTCCATTTGAACTTCTGTTTATGCTCGATTCTTGCCACCAACCATCATTTAGTCTTAGTTATTAAACCTAAACACCACGTTCATCTCTTTCAAATGCACTCTGAAGCCATGCTCAATTGAGCACCATTCTTGAGGCCCTACTCTCCCGACCTCGTTCATTACATGTCCTTTAGTCACCGGCTAAGAAGGTCTCATCATTAATTCATTGCATGTCCTCTTGAAAGATACATATCAAAATGCAACATCACATCATTATTATTACAAAGGACCAAGTCTCAACGGGAATAGTTTTCATTCACACCAGTATTCCTTAAAACCATACATTCAATGCAGACAACTTGAAGGTTGTTGGGGGATAAGAATGACTAATTTCTAAAGTTCTTACAGCCATATTTTTAATAAGATGGAGAAAGGCACAATAAAATTAAAAGTTTTAGGGCCCAACTATAACTGACGTTATCTCTGAAATAGTCGATACCGTGTTGAAATTTACATGTAAATGTTGTTTAGTTAAACTATTTTGGATCAAGAGTTATCGAAAAGGTCACTAAAACTCTATATGGCCAGATTTTGAAAAAAAAATTATGCAATTCTAATCTTGAAAAGGTTATGATCAATTTGTAATAGTCTCATTTTAAAATGAATTTTACAAGTTTAAATTTTGACCTTAAATTGTGTTTTTTTTATTTATTTAGTAAGATACAAAAATAATTACAAACTATATATTCAAATGTTGTCCTACATTTGATTATTGAGGGAGTTGAACATTTTGTAGGAGTGTCTCTTTTTGGGCCCTAATTTGATATAATTTCATTGTAACCATTAAATTAAAACCAAGGTTTAATATTAGATGGAGGTGTTCGTACACCTAACAACCGATACGGCAGGTCAGATAATATTCAAAATGAGTCGGTACAAATATCCAATGCATGTCTTTTCAAGGTTTATATCTGTATATATTAAAAAATAAAAAAAAATCATTTTGAAAATCCAATACAATGTGAATGACACAATTTGAACTGAATTTTATGAAACTATGTTTGGATTTTAACTCAATTTTATCCAATGATCACTCAACATCATATATATATATATATAAATTAATTTTTTTTTTCAATTTTAAAGATGCTTAAAAATTGTACTACTTGTGATTATACTTTTCTTTTCTTTTTCAAAAGGTAAATAATTTACTAAACCGAATATAACAGATATACAGTCAAACCCAAACCACATTTTCATGGACATGATCTTATATTCAACAATCACAAATAAAGTCAGAAAAATTATAATTTTTTGAGATCAAG